AAGGCTGTGGTCTTTGATCTTCAGTAAGTGCTTCAAGTCCTCTTCACTTTCAGCAAGCAAGGCTGTGTCACCTGCATATCGCAAGTTGTTAATGACTCTTCCTCCAATTCTGATGCCCCGTTCTTCTTCATATAGTCCAGCTTCTCAGATTATTTGCTCAGCATACAGATTGAATTGAACAAGTATGGTGAAAGGAAATAACCCTGATGCACACCCTTCCTGACTTTAAACCATGAAGTATCCCCTTGTTCTGTTCAAACGACTGCCTCTTGATCTATGTACAGGTTCCTCATGAGCACAATTAAGTGTTCTCGAATTCCCATTCTTCACAATGTTACCCATGATTTGTTATGATCCACACAGTTGAATGCCTTTGCCTAGTCAATAAAACACAGGTAAACATCTTTCTGGTATTCTCTGCTTTCAGCCAGGATCCATCTGACATCAGCAATGATAGCCCTGGTTCCAGGTCCTCTTCTGAATCTGACTTGAATTTCTGGCAGTTCCCTGTTGATATACTGCTGCAGATGCATCAGGTTGTGGTGAGGGTTAGATGAGTTAGTACGCGTACAGCACGTGGTTAACCAAATGAAACCCATTGCCATTCCAACTCATAGCGACCTTATAGGACAGAGGAGAACTACCCCATAGGGTTTCCAAGGAGCAGCTGGTGGGTTCGGATTTGAACTGCTGACCTTTTGGTTAGCAGCCTAGCTCTTAACCAATGCGCCACTGGGCCTCTGGCACCTGATTAGTGCCATATAACTGTTTGATGTTAGTATCTACACCTGAGTCTGCACATGGGCAGGCCAGAGACCAAAGACCACTAGTTTGCCCCGCAGAGTGGCTTTAAAAAAAAAAAAAATGTGAATCTGAATGATCCTGGGCAGAGCAGAAGAGCTCCGGTTTTGCCCTAAGCCAGCTTCCTTCATTTACAATACCTGCTTCGCCCCTAAAGCCTTGGGAGTTTTCTGCCTCCCATCCAGTCCTACCTTGCCCCGTACTTCAGTGAAGAAGCAGCTGAGGCTCCAGGAGGGCAAGTCCAAGGTCACAGCCAGTAATGGCTAAGCTGAAACAGGGCTCCCAGTCCAGGGCTCTGTTCACCAAAGCACCCACACTTCCAAGACAGGCGCACATTCCGTTCCGTGACAGCTCTGCTGTCTGACCCACTTGCCCCTAAAGCTGAACGAATGTCAGAAAATGGACAGTCTCACAGAAGCTGAGGGGTTAACCTGGAAAGTCACCCCTTCCCACCAACTGCCTCACATTCCGACCCATTATTCCCTCCAATAAAACAACTGCAGTGAAACAACAGGAGAGAAGAAATCTCACACGCAACCAGCGCGCTGCTGCTGTTGCTATAAATGTTCAAAAGCCTGCTGGCCTCTGGGGAAGACAAACCTTTTGTAGGCCCTTTAATTTCATTCTCTGCCAGAGCCTTGCAGGGTGAGACAGTAACTCATCCACAGCAAACAAGTTGGTAACCAGTCCCCTCAGCATCCTGCTCGCCCAACCAGCAAAGAGCTTCGAGGCTGAAACCCAGGCAGGGAGCTTCCGTTTCAACACAGCTTCATTTCCCGGTTAGAAACACTTACTTGTTAAACAACTTCAAAAAAAAAAAACCAGTACAGGAAATGTGAAATCATGACACAGATAAGTTAGGGAGTGATTATTTGTCCTACAAAGGATTCTTCACTTAACAAAGTGAACCTTTTAATATAGAAACCTTTTGCATCTTTTAGACAATAATCTTTCTAGGGCTTTGACAATATGGTTCAATTTGCAAAAATTCAGATCTCAAAAATTTTAGGAAAATAGTTATCATATAGAGCAGAGGATAACTGTGTCTCTATAGATATGTAAGTATATATCTTGTATGTTTAAAAATGGAACTCCAGCCTATGGGCAGAAGGAAAAGGTAATTAATAAATTATTCAATTCTGTGTACATTTATATTTCTAGTTGTTTAAAATAAGAAATATTGGTTGTAGGTCTTTTATGCAATCCAGATCTTTTGTTGAAATATTTTCTAACTATAATTCTTGGATGTGAACTGCAAGCTTTTTGAAACTCAATGTTTTTATGAAAAATAAGATATACTTTCATTTAAGGTGGACTATCTTATCTAATTAGTCCTGAGAATAGAAGTGTTGAACAATTTTCTATTATGTACCTGAAGCAAAAAGAATATATTTTCTGATTGTTCTCTGTACGGATATCGGGCAGCAATTATGAAGATAAAAAATCATGTATGTATGCGTGTATATGTATATACGTGATTTTTTATCTTTATAATTGCTGCCCGATATCCATACAGACACATATAAACACGCACAGGATCTCACAGCTGTAGGGTTATTTGCTATATGGAAAGCATTTTCACATCCATTTTTTTCACATCCTCCTCACAACTACTTTGTGAAGAAGGGATTACAGATGAGAGAACTGAGACCTCGAGAAGTAAAGGAATTCACTCAAGGTAACATGGCTGACAAGTGATAATATTGGTACTAAATTCCAATTTTCTGATGGTCAAGTCCATGATTTTTCTGCTTTCTGGTCTGATGAGGTGCTTTATTGTGTACACACACAGACCAAATCTTCACTTTGGAATTAAAAATAGTATTATATCTATTAGGCTGAACCATATGAAATTGCCAATGTTTAATTGATTCTCACCTGCAGAAATGGCAATTCCATATGGTTTGATGCAATGCCTCCCTGAACTGCTCAGCAATAAGCTAATTTGGGTAAAGGAGGCCTCTTGACAGAAGGAAATCTTTCTAGTGAGAAAATGAGTTTTCTTTTCCTCATCAAATAAGTACCAGACAACTTTCTAGAGAAGGGCTATCATATCTGATGCTCTGGGGATGGCAAAGGTTCTGGTTGGCCAGGAAAAGCCCTTTCCTTCTGGAGGGGCAATGGGTTCTTAGATGGGGCTGCTCATCTCCACAGCCATGGGCCATGGGCTACTTGCCAGAAAGAAGCGTAAACTGGAACAAAACTGCTTTCACACCTCCCTCCTTGACCCCCGCTCCCCACCCCACAGTCCTTGGGGTGGCCGGCCCTTCACCATGGAAACTTCTGGGGCATCAGGGCTGTTTCCCATGAGGGTGGGCAAGGGGGTGGGAACAGGGGATCTTTATGAACTCCTGTTTGTTTCTTCTTTCCCATGTTCTCTTTTAGTTGTGCTTGCTTATCCCCCCCAACACGTTTTGGACGGGGGGGACAAGAGAAGGGAGGTTAGCATCTCCTTCCCCTACGGAAAGGAATTGGGGCAGGGGGAGGGGAGAGTGGAAGAGGCAGAATCCAGAGGAAAATCTGTGTCTGGGGAAAGATGTGGCACTGATACAGAATGACCCATTTAAAAGCGGCCCATGTGAGGCAGCCCTGTGCTCCAGGTTTTCAGCAGACTGAGCTGTGTGGGCAAACATGCCCCAGCACACGCTCAGACCTCCACATTCACACATGCTCTGACACTCACAGTAGCTCTCCAAGCACGTGCTTGAAGTTAATGAAATTCAGGCAAGTAGCAAGTGCAGTCAGCAGCCACTGTCTGTCTGTGTGTGTGTCTCTCTCCCTCTTCCCCTCTTGTGCTATCTTCTCTGTTTCTCTCTCAATGTACAAAGAGGACTTAGGTGAAAAGAAAAAGAATGGCATTAAGGAGTAGGGCAGGTGAGAGTGGGAATAATAAAGAAGAAAAACGTGGGAAAATTCAGAAACTCCAAGAACTGCTGTAACTGAGCATGCACACATTTGCCAGGTGGGTGACAACAGGTATGGAGGAAGGAGGTGGGGTAATGAGGACCCCAAGAAGGCTATGCCTTTTCTGGACTTCCTCCCTCCCTTCCTTCCTTCCTTCACCAAAACTAAGTGGGCACTGCCTACCATGTGCCTAGCCCTGTGCCTGGGGAAACAGATGAATAAGCCCTGGGTTCTACATGGAGGCTTCCAGGCCAGCAGGAACATTAGATTGGGTTAGCCAAGTACCTCCAGCGACTCCTCCTCCAGCCTCCAAACTTCAGCTTTCCTTCAAGACAAGGACTTTGGTCTCCTCTAAGACCATCAGACTGATTCAGAATTTCTTGCCTTGACCACTCTGTCTCTATTCTGAGCCCACCATGGCCTCTTCTCTGAGGAGCAGGTAATTCATTAAGTTAACATTTATATGGAGCGATTACTTTTCGCTTCATTTAATTGATCACATGTCATCCCATTTCACAGATGTAGAAACTAAGGCACAAAGAAGTAATTTGCCCAAGGTCACTCTTTAAGAAATGGGATTCAGATCCAGGCTGAACTACTCCACAGCCCATACTCTTAAAGGAAAAGGCAAAGAAAAGCACGAGAAACGGAAAGGTGGTGTCCTGCCACTGTGAGAAGCTGGTGCAGAGGAGCAACACTTGAATGGTTGTCAGAAAATGAGAGTTCAAGTCCCAGTTTTGCCACAGACTTGATTATGACTTTGGGCAAATCACTTAACCTCTCAGAGCCTCCTTTCCTACTTGAGGATTTTGATGAGATAATCTCTAAGGTCCCTTTACTTTTAACAATCTATAGAAAACCATGAATTATAATTATCATGGGCCCTAGTAAATGAGAATTTAAACATTTTTAAGTCACTGAAGGGAAATGAGGTAGAATAGGGAGATGAGCAGATTCACAGGAAAAGCTATGACAGGAGAAAATATGAATTGTGTATGGAAGGGACCCATTTGAAATGGGCTTGCAGAGAGTGAGGAGAGTTTGAACTCTGCTACCAGCCAGATCTGCCTGGTGCCTGACAGGTCTGGGCTGGAGAATACGAGGATAAGGATCCAAAGCCCAGCTCTGAAGGATTAATGCCCAAACCCAGGGACCACAGAGGAGAGGGCAAGACAGACATGCTGGGATCAGGAGAGGCTCACCATCACGATGTTGGCCAGATGGGCAGAGACAAGCGCGTACACTCCTCCAGAGGAGCCCACGACTGGCGCGGTCATGTCAGCCACTGACACCGCCAAGGACCCTGGTACAGAAAGAAATAGAGAATTCCCAAGAATGCTGGAATCAGCCTCCCCTACCCCAGCCTTAGGCCCTCACGGCAATCCCAGGTGTGTCAGAGTACACACAAAATTGCTTCCACACCTGCCTCCTTGACCCCCGCTCCCCACCCCATGGTCCTTGGGGTGGTCAGCCCCAAGGTCAGACACAGGGCCAAGCAGCCTCGGGGGTAAGACTCTAAGGCTCTTCCTCCTGTGATTCCATGTCACCTTGGAACTCAATTGTGGATCACATGGAGGATTAATTTATGGCTAAAAGAACCATTTGATTCAACTTTCTCATTTTACAGATAGGAAACAAAGACTGGAAGAAGGGAAGTGACTTGCCCAAAGTAGAACTCAGACTATGACCCACATCTTCTGCCTCTCAATCCAATCTCTGCCTGACACTGTGCGATCTCAAGGCTCTGAAGCAATAACAAAAATAGTGATAGTAGTTATTGCAGAGGAGTCCCTGGGTGGTGCAATGGTTAATGCACTCGGCTGCTACCCAAAAGGTTGGAAGTTCAAGTCTGCCCAGAGGTACCTCAGAAGAAAGGCCTGGCAATCTACTTCTGAAAAAAAAAAATCAGCCATTGAAACCCTATGGAGCACAGTTACACTGTGACACACATGGGGTTGCCATGAGTCGGAACTGACAGGACAGCAACTGGTTAAGTTATTGCAGAAACAGCTACCATTTATGAGGTACTGTGTGTCAGACACAAGGCCAAGCATTTTACATACATTTTCACCTTTAGTCCTCAAGACAACCCTTTGAAGCAGGTGCTAGTCATCTCATTGCACAGATGAGGAAACTGAGCCCAGAGTCACCTGGTCACAAGTACTGGAACTACGATTTGAGTCCAGGTCTGCCTGACATGATGCCCATGCTCTTGGCCTCTATAGTAACGGCTCCCCAAACGGGTAGAGAGGTTAACCTCCACCTTCTACTGTCTCTCTCATCAACAGCATCTAGAAATCCAGCCAAGCTAAATCACAAACGGCCAACAGGATCTCCCAAGTGGGGCTCCTTTGGAGGAAAATTGCCCTTGAAAAGTCACCAGAAAGAGAGAGAGATGACGTCACACCCTCTGGGGGAAAGGAAGGGTGTATGACTCTGGGTCTGGGATGACAAGCTCTTGTCCTGGGAGGGAGAGCTGGGCAGAGAGGAGATGGGAAATTTATTGTTCTGGTCTCATTTAAGTGTGATCAATGGTTTGGCTTCCAGGGAAGGACATGGAGACTAAAAATAACTGGGAGGTAGAGCCCAGGGCTGGGTGGATGAGAGGGGGCTGGCCGGGGTGAGTGTGCAGAAATCACCGCTGGAAAATGCCCGCAGGCTCATGAGCCAATTAGCCCCTGCCTGGGTGGAGAGAGGAGAAACGGGCAGAAGGCCATATTCTGCAGGTTCCATAGGAGTGGAGGATCCACCACCTAGGAGGAGGCTGGGCCCATCCCAGGAATGAGAGCAACCCTGGGCATGGAGAGCCCCTGTTCTGGAACATTCTCCACCTTCTCCCAAGCCCCCTCCGCTCACTAAGATCCTTCAAAGAAGAGATCCTCACAACACCTTTTCATCTCACGGGGGAATGTAATCTCTTAGAAGAAAAAACAAACTGTCCTGAACAGAGAACTCCCAAGTCCTTCTCCCCTGCCAGGGCAGCTATAAATCTTTCCTCTCCCCTTTCATGCCTTCCCTCTGGCTTTAATTAGGTATTGATCTATTGTCAGATAACACTCTTTTTTTACTGCCTAGCCATGGGGTCAGTCATATATAACAGGGGGGAAGAAAAAATCCCAGGGTGGCAAACAAACACGCACCGGGATCTGCATGACAAAGGATTCCCACGCTCTCCAGGCAGGCGGGCTGTCTGGGAGCGCTGTACTGCAGGGCTGTGCAGGGCTGGCTGCCCAAGCCGCTGCTCATTAATTACCGCTGGGACAGACGAAGCCCCAGCTCCCTGGGCTGGCCCCTTTCCTTGGCGCAAGTACCCACAACCGGCCAGCCTCTGCGCTCTATCCTTCCCCAGCGCGGTCTGCAAAGAGGCGTCAGGGCAGCCGCAGGGCAGGGGGCGCCCTGCCAGGGGTCAAGCCTCCACACACTGATCTTTTCCTCACCCTACCCATGGTTCCAAGTCCTGACCCCAGGGCCAGGGGACAGCTTGCAATTGTGGCTGGAGTACTGAATGGGGGCGTGTCTGGCTAGTTGTGTGACCTTGGGCACGGCCCGAATTCTTTGGGATTCAGTTTCCACCTCTGTGAAACGAGAAGGTCTGAAGCCTTCCAACATTTGAGCAGTGAGACCCTCTTTTCAAAGGAAAAATGACCCAGAACCCTAACCCAGGGTGATGAGCACAGTGAGCCATTCTGGCTGAATGGGGGCAGGGGCTGGGCCTGAGCAGCAAAGGTTGCCACCCACTGGAGGGAATCCCAAGGATACCTTCCAGACCTGAAATTCAGTGATCCAGTCTTGGCCTAAAACCCAGGGTCCAAGGCTCTGAACCTGGTTCTAGAATCTTGAGGGTGACAACCTAGACATTTGTGGCATAATGACTTTCCTCAATTACCACAGATTAGTCCCAGACTAGAGTGAGTGGGAGAGATCAGATATGAACATGGGAATGTATGTAAAAAAAAAAAAAAAGAAAAAAATTAATAAAAAGATCCAGTGGAGGATGTTCCAGGGCAGGAAGCATAGGCCAGGCAGGACATCTTTACAAGCTATTATCCACTTAACGGATGACTGATCCACACAGCTAGTGTGAATTCCATGGAGGTCGTGGTGGGCAGAGGATGGGGAGAAAATGTCAAGCTACTTCTACTCAGGGCTATAAATTTTCCAAAAAAAAATCTGGGCCCATGCCAGCACACAGATAAGTTGGTGACTTTGCCATAATGCACGCTGCGATAATTTTAGCCTGGAAAACTGTAAAGCAGGTGTTCACTAACATGTCCCTGGGCCATTTAAAAAAAATCCAAATAAAAATCCGAAGAACATCTAACCTTAAGCCATGAAAATTTATTTATGTAGTTTTTAAATTAATTCTACAATTATTTATTGCCTAACATGTGCCAAGGCCCCTGGGTGGTGCAAGCAGTTTGCACTTGGCTGCTAACCTAACGGTTGGCAGTTTGAACCCACCTGGCGGCACTGCAGAAGAAAGGCTGGTGATCTGCTTCCATAAAAGATTACAGTCAAGAAAACCCTATGGAGCAGCTCTACTCTGTAACACATGGGTTCGACATGAGTCAGAATCAACTTGAAGGCAATGGGTTGGGTTTGGAACATGTGTCAAGCCCTGTGCTAGGCTGCTCTGGGGATGCACATGTGGCTTATCAACTGAGTTCTTGGTGAAGGATTTAATATACTGATTTTTAAAGTACTTAATTGTTAGCCATATGCTTTTCAGCCTTAAGTGAGTTGCACATTGGCCTTGAGCATTGGTTAAAAGCACAGAGTTTGGAGGACAGACATGGGAAGGGTTTGCCCTCGGTTCTACCACTTCTTAGCCGGGCAGATGGAGCGAGTAGTTTCACCTCTCTGAACCTCCTGTAAAATGGAGGTGACAGGACCCACCTCACAGGATTGTTGTGATGACTACAGAGATAACATATGTCAAGCCTTTATCACATGCCTGGAGTGCCATACGTGCCCAATAGAGGTGGGCTATCATTGTTATAAAATGCAACGGCCTTGGACTTAGGATAGTTCCATTGGGCAGGAATTAGAGAGCAGGACCAAGACCGCTTTTGATTTCTGACAATAACGCATCTGCACAAAGGAAAAGGTCTGCCCTTAGGTTCTCTTAACACTCTGGTAGTGGTTAAGAGCACAGCCTTTAGGGTTAGACAGCCTGGGTTTGAATCCAGCGTCACCATTTTATGAGCTGTGTATTTTTGGGCAAGTTACTTGGCCTCTCTAAGCCTCGGTTTTTGTAACAGGTGAATAGTAATAGTACCTGCCTCAGAGAGTTGTTGTGAGGATTAAATACGGCCTACATATGGTAGGCACTTAATATATAAACCAAACACCAAACCAGTTGCTATGGAGTTCGATTCCAACTCATGGCAACCCCACGCATGCAGAGTAGAACTGCACTCCATAGGGTTTTCAAAGCTGTGATCTCTTGGAAGCAGACTGCCAGGCCTTTCTTCCGAGGTATCTCTGGGTGGGTTTCAACAACCAACCTTTTGGTTAACAGATGAGCAGTTAATCATCTGTGCTACCCAGGGACTCCTACTTGATAATCCAAAAACCAAACCAGTTGCCATTGAGTCAATTCTGACTCACAGCATCCCCATGTGTTTCAGAGTAGAACTGTGCTCCATAGAGTCTTCAAGGTTGTGACCTTTCAGAAGCAGAATGCCAGGCCATTCTTCCATGGTGCCTCTGGGTGGGTTCAAACTGCCAACCTTCCAGTTAGTAGTTGAGTGCTTAACCCACTGCACCACCCAGGGCTCCTGCTTGATAAATATGGGGTCTGACTATCTGGAAATGGCCCTACCTCTCTAGGAGGGATGTGCCTGTAGCAGAGAGGGAGGAAGGGGCGGGCAGCGCAGCTAGAGTGATCAGCTCAATCCTGGCGATCAATGACATGATATGTTGTGACTAGAGTGCCCTCTAATCTGAATCAATGACTCATACAGAATAGTGCACGTCATGTGCCTTACAAACGCTGACATCCCCACATGCTCACATTCAGTGGATGAGCCCGCTTCTGTGTGAGCACCCGCAAGCCTTGCCCACTCTGCACGGGTATCACTGGGAAGTGCACTACCTACACTGGCTTCCCATGGAGTGTCACCCAGTTTGGGTGAGTCATTTTGCATTTTATTTCTGTCTTCTGGGCTATTGGCACTTCAACCTAATTGAATACTAATGCAAGTGTTACGGGAGTCTTCCTGTTCCTCGCTATTTAACATCTGGGTCTCTGGGTGTCTAGGTATGGAAAATGCAGCGACACATCCCCAGATGTCAGGACTGGGGGAGCGTGGGTGGCTGAGTGAGCCTGGCACTTAAAGACGCTCATTAGACCTTTGCTTAAGGGGGAGGCTCGTGGGTGTTGTCCCAGGAGGCCAAAGTCATAGCCTCAGCAGAGAGCAGTCAAGGAGATGGTCTAGGTGAACCTCCACAGGTGAGGGTTCACAAACTAGCCAACGTACCTCGTGTAGGTGGGACTTTCCCCTCTGATTCCTGAAACCACTTCAGTTACTCCCAGAGTCCCTGCCTGCCTGCTATTTATAAGGCCGGCACTGCCCCGCTCTCCTGATGACAACTTTAATGCCACTCAGAAAGGATTAAGATCTTACTTAAACATACACACAAAGCTCCCTTGGGCACAGCTGTCAAGCTGAAGAGCTGAGGCGGCAAACCTTGTAATAAAAAAAAAAAAAAAAAAGCCAGCAATGTAGCTGGAAGCATCATAAGAGTGGGCCCGACGTTCAGAAGCCCAGTTGGAGCTGACTTTTCCTGTAGATATCTGCTCCCAGCTCACCTCACTCCACTTCCCCTCACCTCCCACTGGTGGGGGGGAGGTAAGAGGGAGAGGCATAGGTGGGAGGGGCTCACTGGTAGTCACCCTGGTCACCATGGTCACCATCTGCCAGACACGGCACAATCTCTTGCCAGAGCCGAGGCCCCAAACTCCTCCAGCTGGGGTGAGTGCTCACTACCTCTTAGCCCAGACTCTCTCCTGTAGGCTCAACCAGTGGGACAGTGGTGGGCCTGGGCAGAGGCATATGTGCTGTATCTTTGGGTACAGGTGCTGCCCTGGCCAGGAGGAACCTGGCTCCACCCACATCTTTGATGCCCCTACATGGACGCCACTTGCACAGCTTATGCAGCAAAGTCATTCCCATGTACCACCTGATTGACTCCATCCTCCCAACAGCCCTGTAGGCACATCTCATTAGTGCCATCTGAAAGCTTCATGGGGCCAAGGGAGAGTAAGGAATTTCCCCAAGGTCACACAGCTACAACATGGCAGTGCGAAGACTGAAACCTGGTCAGCTGGCCAGGTCCAAATCCTGTGCTCTCCTCCTTTGTCATCACACACCTCCCTGTCTAGGTGGCAGTCCCTTTCCAGCATCCCAGGAGGTGGGGCGATTTGCCTCGGACAACACTAGTAGTCAGGAAGCTTGGTGATAACGGTCCTGTGTGTTTCCTGGAAGCTCATGGGGTCTCGCAGCCCGCCCTGGGGAGGTTTACCCTGTGGACATGGGGCCACCAGCCTACCTGCCACGACGCCAGCCACATAGACAAGCCCGATGCGGGTGGCTCCGTGCACCATCTCCAGGGGCACCCCCACCAGTAGCTGCAACACCACGTTGAGTCCCAGGTGTTCTATCCTAACACAAAGAGACAACGTTTATTCATTCAGAGTCATTCAGCCATTCAACAAACATTATATGTTCTAGCAGTGAACAAGACTTGTCCCTGCTTCAAGGAGCTCACGGCCTTGTGGCAGAGGCATAGAAACAGGCAATCACAATGCAGACAGAAGATCTTGGGATGAGGGTGCCTTCCACACCTTCCCTGCCAGATAGGACAGGAACGCATGTGCAGGGCCTGGGCAGTGACTGGCAGCATCTGCACTTATCATAGTGAGGGACCAGCCCTAGTCAACCCAGCAACACCAGTGGTAGACACATGAGAAGCTGAGGCTCAGAGAGGGACACTGACTGGCTTAAATCATACAGCTGGCTAGTGGCCAGATGGGGATCATCACAGTCCAGGTCTCTGATCTGCCTGACCTGCTCCTTTCACCAGCCCACACAGTCCCTCTGCCTGTCTACTGTCTTCGTAAGAGCTACTGATATTTGAAGATGGAGATGGTTTTAAAACACGCACAGGCAGTACAGATGTCTCCTGTTGCTCAATAATTCAACATCATCTCTTAAAGTCTCCGATGTGAGCTGCTAAGGAGGCTTCCTCTTCCTGGTGTGAGAAGGTTCTGCTCTGCCCCAAACTCCCAGGGTTGGGAGATGGGACCCCAGGTTTTCTTACCCCATGAATGTCCTCCTGTGACCAGATCTTGCTGCCAAATGTGTGGGGTGTCTAGCTTAGTGTGTGTATTAGCAGAAAAGATTGTGGCATGGCTATTATTAAATCTAAGTGGTGCTTTCAAGTTTACAGAGCAGGTTAACATCCATTATCTCATTTAAACTGAGCTTATGGCAGCTGGGCAGCTTCCTGGCATGGCTTAAGTCATGGGGCAACAGGGCAAGTAACAAGGGGCCTGGACATTAGTCTGGTACACAGCCCTGCTCCTGGACTGCAGGGCCCTGCCTGAGGCTCAACTGCTGTGCTACCTGGAAGACACATGGACACCTACTTCCTGTCCCAAATTTCTACCAGGCCTAGAACCTTCTACCCTCTTCTGACTGTGCTAGCTGAAGGATTCCATGCAGATGAGAAATGACAGCATCAGACTCATAGTCAGAGGGACCTTAGGGGTTTTCTGTTCCTATCCCTTGTTTTTCAGCCTCAGACCTGAGGCTAGAAGAACCCAGGTGAGGAGGACCTAGGTACCCTGCCTCCCACACCTAAGCTCTTTCTCCTCTACCACAGTGATTTCTGGATTCCCAGGCCCAGAGTGTGTCTCTGAGTGTGTCACTTTGCTGGGTCCTCCCTAGATGCTGGCCAGCTGTCCCTATCTCCTGTCTGCTGTTGCTTCTGTTTTCATTGTACCAGTCAAGAGTCCCTGCCTCACGCTCCATAGACCTAGAGACCCCCTTTCAGGGCCCTCCCCAGCAGACACGGCCCCATCAGGAGCAATTGCCAAAGAAAGGCCTGAGGCCACTCCATGGGCCTCAGCTGAGGGCATCTGTGCCCTGTTCACTGCGGCCTCCCGGCTTTTAGCTCAAGGAGGCAAAGAATGGAGCAAGAAGGCATTGGCTCTCCTCCTTCTTCACCCTCAGGGATCAGGGAAGGTCAGAGGGTAGGCCTGGATGTAAGGCAGGCAGTTCCAAACCATGCACAGCCACAGGCTTGAGCAGTCTGGGCAGGAAAGCCCCCAGGTCTTGCTGCTCCAGAACTTTGGCTACTGGGAAGACTAAAGTGTGAGACACCTCCTCTACTCTGCTCCTCAGCCTCGTGAGATTAAAGCCTGGGGACACACAGGCAGGGCAGATGGCCCCGAATGACTGCCCCCATTGGCCTAGGTGGGAGACAAACATTGGCAACCACACAGATGACTCTTCATCCCAAAGCACCCTCCCCAGCAGGGGCAGCCAGTTAGGTGTTGGCTCCTGTGCCCACTTCAGAGGCTCAGCAGGAAAGAAGCCTTACAGTAGAGCTCCCTGTTGGCCACTGCGGGTCTTTCGGCTGAGGAATGGGAATGATGGAGCCATTGGGCCGGAGTGATCCCCTTCCCATTTTCAACTCCAGGGTCAGGTACCCCCAGGGCTTTTCCAGGCTAACAGTGAGCTCTTTCACTTCTCTGGAAAGGCGGTAAAAGACACAATAGCAGCCTGGTGTCCTAGGGCTCTGCTTTCCCAAGTCAGTGCCTCTACTACATAAAAACCGTCTCCAGTCAAGGGTGATGCTCTTCCAGGGACTTAGTCTGAGTGATCTCCTGGCCAGCTACTAGGTGCTTATCACGGAACTGGGGTAGGAGGCACTAGGGAGAACTGATTGTACTCCAATGCCAAAAGAGGCCACAGGGCTTTGCAAACAGAAACTGTGAATATTGCTAGAGTTCCTCAGGAAGACCCTCACCATACGTGAAGAATCTTAGGAGGAAGGTGATTTCAACAAATCAGTCCTTTATTTCACCTATAGGGGCACTTACACAGTTTACGGACAATGAATCTGGCAGCTGACCACATTTCTCTCTTTGCTTTGGCCACTAGGAAGCTCAGAAGGAATTTGCAACCTATCTCTAGTAAGTTCACAGAATCACATGCTATGTACATGTGTGCTGATTTTACTGCTGGCTTTTAACATTTTCCTTTCTATATTTTCTGTGCTCCAAGATACCCTCAATAATTTATTTGTATATTTTGGTATTAGATGAGTTTCAAGGAGCCGCCTCAAACCCTGGGCCCAGGTAGATACAAATAAACTAAAAAATTGATTTCAACCCAGCCTACCTAGACCACTTATTTTTCTGTACGGACTCTTGATAGAAAGAAGACAGGCACTCACCCCGCATGCATGAAGATGTACGTCAGGTAGCGCCAAGCCTGTGCTCGGAGCTGTGGGTGGTAAACCAGTGAGTTCTTCAGGTAATGCGGATGGGTTACCTGCAGCACAAATTGATTCAGCGACACCCCATTGTAGAGGAAAAAGGCAACCTGGATGAAGTCATAGAATGGAGAGGACCGTTACTAGGTGTGAAACTGCCCAGGACCATCTCTTTTCCGCCGACTGACTCATAATCCCTACAGGAAGTTGTCCATCATTTAACCTTCCCAGAGAATGAGGGGCACCCCCATGGCCAGCACCCAACCTAGCCTTCAACCAGCTCTTCCTCCCACTTCTGTTTATCAAATACTCACAAAATGGTCACCTGGTCTCTTTGCTCACACTTCTCTTGGTGCTAAGCAGAAAGAGTTTGTAGGATTTTAAGCTTTATTTCAGTAACAACTCACTCACCCACTTGGGGGATGAGGCAGTCCACATGAGTGGATTTTGCCAATGACTGAAGCATACCTGTTCAAGCCCTAAAGGTGTATTTATTTTAACTATTTTTTTTTCTAGAAATCATTCTAAAATATATCATTCATGTTCCTGAATTCTTTAAAGGGGCATATGTATAACCTTTTCAGAATGTCAGGATTTGGACTATGAGAGTGATGTTCTCTCCAGCAGTCGAGGTATATGGGGTTTTTATTCCTACACTAAATGACCCCAAACTTTTGTGTTTCTTTCAGACTTTGGTCTGCTTTTAAATGTTCTTTTGTCTTTCCCCCTACTGCAAGGTTGTCAGCTGTTAGTTCTTGTTGCTTGCTGGTAATGGGCCCCTTCTAATAGCTTCCCACCATGTCCCTTCTCATTTTCTATTTGTTATGAACTCAGAAAACCAGGTTATTAGAACTGTATGTAAAGCAAAAGCCTTGGGCTTTAGTACAAAAAACAAAAAAAAATTAGCTTATTGCCATCGAGTTGATTTCAATTCCTGGTGACCCCAAATGTTGCAGAAAGGAACTGCTCCATAGAGTTTTCTCTCACGGAAGCAGATCGGCAGGACTTTCTTCCACAGCGCCGCTGGGTGGGTTTGACCCACCAGCCTTTAGGTTAGTAGTCAAGTGCAAACCATTTGTGCCACCCAGGGACCCTGGCGTTAGTACAAGGGCTTTGAGATAGTTATTTCAGCTATTTGAACTTTTCTCAGTTTCTCCTAGGTTAGTGGTTTGAGTTGGCATAGTTAAGGTTTCTGGAAATTCGAAAGCACTCTGCAGTTGGACGATCTGGACACAAAATTGGGCTCCTCAGGATGACCGTGGGCAAATTATTTGAATTTTCGGGTCCTTGGTTTCCTCATCTGGAAATGGGAATACTAATACTGGTACTTCCAGCGTTATCATGAGGTTTAAAAGTGATGAAGTGCGTGAAGAGCCAGCTCCATGCCTGGCACAAGCTCAGTGAATGCAGCTATAATTAGTGGTGTGTTAAAACCTCGTGCTATACCTGGGAATGCTTTTGGCCCCCTGGCAGCCGGACTCCCTTGAGCTCTCTGGGGAGTTCTATCCACCAAACAACATGTGGGTGGCCTGGCAGCAAATACAGCTTCCAAAGCATCTCGTTATTATTGGTCCTCAAATAGAAGTTAATAAATAGACCGACACTGTAAGAGCCTTAAGAACGAACCTAAGAATATCTCAGAAAATCTTAAACTTCAACATGTACTTGGAGGAAGCCATAACAACAAACAGAGGTGCTCTGGCATGCAGACCAGATATTCTGAGATATAAAAGAAGAAGGATGCCGTGAAGCTTAACCATCCTGCCGTTTGATTAGGCAGGAACTTTGCAAGAACATATGCACAGGCGGTAATTAGGCCCATGGCTCTGGAAGAGAAATGGTGGAGATTATAAAACGCCAAAGGAAAGTCAAGCATCCATTCAGAGCTGGGGTGGGAGGTCTACAGGTTCTTGGGCTGAACAGTCAAAAGAATTCAGAGCTCATCACAGAAGGGCACCAGTTCTGTAAATGGTACCTTTGGATTTCTGTTACATAAGCAAGAGATTTTTTTCAGAATAACAATAGGTATGAATGATTCCCTAAGGGGAGAATGTTCTTTTCAAATATGTTAACCCCACATTTACCTGTTCATAAACACCTCCTCCTATCTATCTCTATACACACATATATATATATACACACATATACATATATATGAATATATTTATATATACACATATACATATATACGGGCATGGGGCCCTGGTGGCGCAGTGGTTAGGCATTTAGCTGCTAACCAAAAGGTTGGCAGTTTGAATCTACCAGCTTGTCATGGATTGAATTATGTCCCCCAGAAAATGTGTGGATCAATTTGGCTGGGCCATGATTCCCAGTATTGTGTGGTTGTCCTCCATTTTGTGATTGTAATTTTATGTTAAAGAGGATTAGGGTGGGATTGTAACATCCTTACTAAGGTCACATCCCTGATCCAATGTAAAGGGAGTTTCTCTGGGATGTGGCCTGTGCCACCTTTTATCTTGCAAGAGATAAAAGGAAAGAGAAGCAAGCAGAGAGTTGGGGATCTCATACCACCAAGAAAGCACTGCAGGGAGCAGAGCACATCCTTTGGACCTGGGGGTCCCTGCGCAGAGACGCTTCTAGTCCAGGGTAAGACTGATGAGGGCTGACAGAGAGAGGAAGCCTTCCCCTGGAGCTGATGCCCTGAATTTGGACTTAAAGCCTACTTTACTGTGAAAAAATAAATTTCTCTTTGTTAAAGCCATCCACTTGTGGTATTTCTGTTACAGCAGCACTGGATGACTAAGACACAGCTGCTCCTTGGAAACCCTATGGGGCAGTTCTACTCTGTCCTATAGGGTTGCTATGAGTTGGAACTGACTCGACATCCAGGGGTTTTATATATGTGCATATCTATACATACATATATACATACATATACACATACACATGTATACATACACACACACACACACACACACACACACACACGGATGTTTGTGGCAACCCTGATGGTGCAAATGGGTAATGCGCTTGGCTGCTAACCAAAAGGTTGGAGGTTCAAATCCACCCAGAGGCACCTCAGAAGAAAGCCCTGGTGATCTACTTCCAAAAAATTAGCCATAAAAAACCCTATGGAGTACAGTTCTAATGACACACATGGGGTCACCATGAGTCAGAACTGACTCGACAGCAACTGTTTTGTGTGGGATGCGTTTGTGTTCAGAAAGCATCAGTAGCCATCTCTCACTCTAATTTAAATAGAGGAGTCGTGTGGGGGTGGGGAGGGTGGGTGTGGTTATTTCTGTTTAACAGATGGGAAAGTGGAGTCCCAGGGGAGCAAATGACTTGTTTACAGTTACTCAGGGAAGAACGAAAATTAATTGGTTTTAATGAGTTAGCCTAGGTAAACCCCTCAAATCAAGGAACTTAAGACATGGCTTTTGTTGCTTCTGTTTTGGTGGGAGTGGCTCTATGAAAAGGAGCCCTGGTGGTGCAGTGCTTAAGTGCTCAGCTGCTAACCAGAAGGTTGGTGGTTCGAACCCACCATCTGCTCAGCGGGAGAAAGATGTGGCAGTCTGCTTCCAAAAAGACTACAGCTCTGGACACCCTACTCTGTCCTATAGGGTCACTATGAGTCAAAACCAGCTGAACGTCAACAGATTGTTGGTTTTGGTTATATGGAGATTTTGCTGCAGCAAATATTGCTTGAAATAATAATCTTTGGTAATATCTCTTTTTTTTATTGTGAGGAATATCTCTTTATAATACAGTATCACAATACTTGCATTCACTGTAAGGGGCCTGGCTTGTAATGACAATCACCATTTGATCCTCAACCGTCCCCTTTAGGTGGAGAATTCTGTCCTTCTCTTGATCTCAGCTATCCTCTCCCGACCCCAAGGCTGAGCAGCCCCTTCCCCACACTCGTCCTTGCCTCCAGCAGTGTGACCGTGATCATGAACCAGGGCGGGGGACAGCAGGTGTAGCTGTCATAGTACCACTTGCGGTCAATCTCCCGGGGCAGGGTCTCATAGGCCACATGGCGGATCAGTCGCTGAGAGAGGTTCAGCCCCTTTTCCTCCAGCAGTGCTTTGCTGCAGAGCCTGCGGTTCCCCTGCAGGATGGCCTGGCGGAAGCTGTTGGACCGTTTGTTGCTCATCTGTACAGGACACAGGGTGGGGGACAGGGTCAGAGTCGGGGTCTCACACTGCTTAGGCCAGGACTAACCCACTTTCTTTTTCTTTCATAACTGTCAATAGTTCTATAATAGTTCATGAAAAATAACATCTACTGGGCTCTTAAAAATGGGTCAGGGATTGTTCTAAGAACTTCACGTGTTTGAGCTCATTTGATACAACTAGTCTACCTGTTAGATTGTTGTTCTTATAGATCATTGAGTTGGCTTTGACTCATGGCAACATTATGTATAACAGAACGAAAACGTTGCCCAGTCCTAAGCCACGTCCATGATCATTGGTAGGTTTGAGCCCATTGTTGAGATAGTGTATCAGTCCTTCTCATTGAGCATTTTCCTCATTATCACTGATGCTCTATTTTACCAAACATGATGTCCTTTTACTAGCAATGATAAGGTTAGATAAGGTAAGGCAATGAATATCCTCATTATACCTGATGGGGAAACTGAGGTACAGGGAGTTCTAGTAACCCAACAAATCCAAACCTAGAAAGGCTTCAGAGTCTGTATTCTTACTCACTTTACCTTCTTTGCATCCACCATCCATCACAATTTACTGAGCAACTACTGTCAGGTACATTGCCAGAAGCAGGGGATACAGTATTGCTCAAGACAGGGAAGTAACCAGCAACCACAGTTCAGAGTGATGACTGCTGTGGGAGCACAGGGGGAGCCCAAGCCAGTCCCAAGGTAGTCAGGGAGGGCTTCCTGGAGGAGGTGGTATCTGAGTGAGAACTGAAAGATAAGTAGGAGTGACCATCCTCAGACACACTAGCTTGGAAAAAGGAGGGTAAACCTTGGTTAGACAGGCAAGTTTGAAGAGAAAATGAAAGAGCACTGGATCAGAAGACCTGGGCACCAGTCCTGGGTCTTCCACTATACAGCCAGGTAACCTTGGGCAAGTCACTTAGCCTCTCTGGACCTCAGTTTCCTTATCTTCTCAAGGGGCAGGGAAGGGTTGGTCTAGACTAGTTCTACCCTCCTTCCTAGTTCTAGCATCCTAACCTCCTTCACACCACAAACCAGCACCATGCTCAACACACCCTGAGTTTCACTGGTCACGAAGGGCCAGGAGCTCTGGAAGCCCTCAGCCCCATCTCCTTCATTCCTGCCCCAGTCTGAGCCGGGAAGCTCCCCCGGAGGGAACCCACACCCTCTCCTTCCACAGCCAGTGAGCCTGGGCTCCTTCTCCATCCACGCTGAGCCACAGCAGCTCATCCCCTGCCCCTCTCAAGGCTGGAGCCCCAGGAGCCATAGCCAAGTGGTAAGGGTCCAGTTCCTTGAGTCAGGTGTGCCTAGATTTCAACAGGATATGAACCTGACTCTGATTCTACAAAGTAGCCACCAAGTCTGGAAACACAGACAAATACATAATAAATGGTTTATTACACATTACCGTACATGATAAAATGATATTATTGATGTTTCCAGACCCTTCGGCCACCTTATAGCATCACAACTGTTAACGCTCCTCTTGGGAGGAGAAAGGAAATAAGGGGAGATGGGGAAGTGCCTGGGTGAGCACTCAAAGACAGCTTCTACCCCCTTTCTCTCTCCCACCCCCACCCCACCTAGCAGCCTCTCCTGCTGCCAGGCTGTGGAGCTGGAGCAGGGCCCTCCAAAACTCCCACTCCTTTTTGAGAGATGAGCATGAATGAGAGGCTTTCAGAGCTCCCAGGGTAGAGAGGACCCCGGAGTAGGAAGGCCAGTGCCCAACACCACAGGTGAGAGATCCCCAGAACCAGAGCCCAAAGCTGTGCCTGTGGAAGGCCACCACTCTGGAGTGCCTTTGTGGGACCCAGAACCCCTAGTGAGCCCAGGGACTGGCTAGACCCTCAGGGCACCTGAAGTGTCCACCTGAAGGCTGGCCCTGCCCTCAGATGGGCCCTGAGGCTGCCCTGACACATCCTCAGTACAGCTCTCGCTACCTCACCCAGCGGTCAGCCTGACTTCCAGAAGCCAGAGGCGGCCTTGCTGACTTCCAGCCTCTGGGGGCCTCCCTTGCCTCCTCCGCCCTCCTTGGCCACCCTCTAGACTCTTCTTATGGAGATGTGTCCTAGAGACTCAGCTCTCCCAACCCTGGACCCCACAGTGCTGTCTGAGCAGCTAGTACATGGAAGATGGTGTGGGGATTATCAGAGCATTCCTGGGACTATGGGCCAGCGTACATGTTAGGCTAACCCTGAAGGCAGGAACCAGACAGGGTTGGTGAAGTGAACCACGCCAGGCCAAGGTACAGGGGTCTCAACTCCCGTCGGGGGAAGGTAGCTGGAGAGGATCTAGGTTCCGACCAGACCAGATGGTATGAGCCTCCATCTGTAGTGCCCTCCCCACTCCTGGGCTCTGCCGTCCTCACCTTAAAAATCTGGCTTAAAGCTCATCCTCTCTAGCAGGCTTCCCCAGGTGAACCCCTTCCAACTCTCCCCTATCCTCATCCCCTCCATACCGATAAAGCTTGGATCTGGTTCTTAATGGCTCAGGAGTTCTGTAAATGCAGGCAGGGGCTGGGGCTCCATGTACATCGTGAGCCCCAGGCAGGACTACGTTGTCAAATTATTTTGCAGCCACCCTTACAACTCTCTACCCCAATCCCCAACGTGCACACACGCTCACAAACCTACTCATGGCCAGGAAGCCCTGAAAACCTGTGGTGGAGATGGACTCAGCATGAGTACAGAAGGGATGTGTGCGTACACACACACACACACACACACACACACATACTCACCATTCACCCTGTATCCTTGATGTGCCTAGAATCATGCCAGACACAGTGGTAATCATGGTCTCGGAAATCACAAAGTTTACAAGGGGGGACAGATGTGTAAATAGCAGCAAAAAGGGATGTCATCTTATATATTTGGTAGATAGTATTATCTCCACATTATAAGGGTGAGGACTAAAGCTTAGAGAGGGTAAGTAATTTCCCCAAGGATCTGTAATTAGTAAATCACAGAGTTAGATTCAAATCCAGATCTGCCTGACTCCGGAGTCATGCTAGCCCACATGGCACTTTTGTGCCAATTAGATAAAGAGGCCTCTCCTTCTAGATGGATGCACCCCATGCCCAGACCAGATTTCAGTCCCCACTCATTCTTCAGCCAGGCACCCTTGTACAGTACACAACCTGCACACCCATCCATGACAACCCTGGCCACTCAGCTGTAATGCTATAAAAAGAAAAAGAAAAAAGTCTGAGCAAAGCACTATGGGAGCTCTAGATAAGGGTAATTCATTCTGCTTGGGTTGGGGGCTGGAAAGGGTTCACAAAGGATGCAGAGGAATTTTACCTAGTGGAAGAACTTTAAAAGACAAGAAAAACTTCATCTTATTTAATCCTTACAACAACTCTGAAGAGGGCATTCTGTGGCCTCACTTTACAAACAGGAAAGCCCAGGCTGAAAGGGGCTTACAGCGAGTGGCAAAGGTAGAACAAGACTAAGACTCAGGCTGCTCAGAGGCCCTGAGCTCTGTGCCCTACTTGCCCCCTCAGTGAGCCCCCTCTTGGTCCCGATCTCCAGGGCAGCCCTACTCCTGGCAATGGCTGACTTCCCGGGCTCTGAATTTTAACAGAGAAATTTCAACATCAGTAATAAGTAAGCTCTCTGACCCCGCCGGGACAAAACATCCCATGGGCCCAGCCGTGTCCTCACTCTGCTCTGAGGCTAATCAGAACCCCCTGTTTTAGCAAGCATGCTAGCACTGGGGCTGCTGAAGAGCCTGGGTGGGCTCAAACCTGTGCCCTGGCCTTGGTGACGCTGCTGGGCTCATCCCATGGATCCCAACTGTCCCCAACTCCTACACTCAGCTCAGCTCTGCCCTCCCACTGAGCTCTGCCCTCTCCCTGCCCTTCCAGGAGCTCTGCTCCCTGGGTCCACTCTGACCAGCAGCAGCGTCCTTCACTCCAAGGATGCTCCCTGCAACCACACTAACTCTCGGGCAAAGGCAGTCCCTCGGCCGAGAGGATATTCACACAACTTGGAAGCACGGGCATTCACATCAGAGAGGTCATGTGGCACCAATGACAGGTAGCACTGGTACTGGCTCCCCACTTACACACGCTTTCAGGTTCTAGGAGCCCAGGGAGCTTCACACAAGTCCTTTCACTCTTGCCACCTCCGCGTGTGACCTGAAGAGAGGTGACTGTTTCCATTCACCAGTGGGGAAACTAAGTAAAGACTTCTGGCCTTGTAGTCATCCTGCTGGTTCATGCTGCATCTACCAATGTCTCATCCATCCCACAGTGGGTAAAACGCTGCCTGCTTAATCCCACTGAATCCCACTCCAATTCTACCACAGTAGCCCCTGTCACAGCATAGCAATAATCCCCAATGAGGAAGAAGTCCGGCTCCAAGATATCAGACCACTGGGCTTCCCATTTCCAGCCCTCTGACAACCCAGGACATATGTCAGTAGGTCTGATGAGCTGTGGCCTCCAGCCATGTGCTCCATTGCTCCTGGGGACATCTATTCTGACGCTCCCCCCAACCCCAGCATCCACTTCCCACCCCCTTCTACTGACAACAATGCCCTCCCCACTCCTAGCCCTTCATTTTCATGGGACTGACACTACTCCCAGCTCCAGGAGTGGGCAATGCTTGGCTTGAGCTAATCAACAGATCCCACCTGACCCCAACTAGGCCAGTGGGAGAGAGGAACTCTCAGGCCTTGTGCAGGAACTACCACAAGAGTCCCTCTCCTCCCCTCTATGATGTGAACTGAGGGTGTGAAGGCTGGAACAGCTGCAGCCATTTTGCTGCCACAAGGGGGAATGTCTGGAATTGTCAGAGGCTGCTTTGAGGATGGGCTGACTCTGCAGAAAGCAGAACCAAGACACAAAGAGACACTGAGTTGTTGGTGACATATTTTCACTTGCTAAAGCCTGGACTTTTTCAGTGTTATGGGCCAACAGATCTTTTTAATTATTTAAAAGGGTCATCTAAGCCACAAACCCCAAACAGGCCCCTCCCAGTGGCAAGGGCCCCAGAGTGCTCACCAGGTTGACAAAATCCTGGTAGCAGATCTGCCCATCCGCGTGGCTGTCGGCGAGAGCCAGGAGCACCTCCTTTTTGTGCGGGTCCAGCTCAGAGCTGTGGCTCTCCAGGAGGCTCCGGAACTTGCCTGTGCTGATGAAGCCTGTGTTCCCAGGGTCAAACTGAGGGAGAAGCACAGACAGCCATGGCATCAGCAGGACACCCCTTCCTCTCAGCACAGGTGCCCGATCTCCACCACTCACCAGCTCCCAGCCCCAGCCCTCTGCCAAGAGAGGCCCAGGAAGTTTCTGGGATATCTCTCAGGCCCCATGGGAAACATACAAATATGGCATGGACGACCACTTAAATCCTAGCAGGCCCTGGAGAGGTATGAGATCACCATATCCAGCCGTCTCTAGTGAGGATAAGGAAACTGAGGCTCAGAAAGGTTAAAGGATTCCCTCCCCTCCACCCTCACTCCTGACCTTGGACAAAAGGAAAAGAATGAAATGGCAGTGAGTGGAGGAAGATGAGGAGCTTCTGGGGCCTGGGACAGGGAAGAGGTCAGAAGAAGAAGGACGAAGTTCCCACAGAAGGCCTTCCAGGGGTGACAGGCAAGGGGGAAGGGGGCTGGGCCAGGGGACTCCAGCAGGGATGCTGGAGGGCCTGGGGAGCAGAAGCACACCTTTCAAGCCCTTCCCATCTGGCTGTGGCCCCTCTGACAGCCCCCGCCCCATGCATGCCCATATGGAGGCACAAAGAATTGTACAATTCTCCCAAAGACATTGCACTCTTTGGTCCTCTGCAGCTTTGCACATGCGGGCCGTCTGCCTCCAATTTCCTGTCCTCCCTGTCCCCCTGGGAAATTCCTACTTACACTTCCTGATGACTCAGATGTCCCCTTCCCTGGGAAGGCTCCCCTCAGACGTGGTCTGGTCCTACTGCTCCCCCAGCACCTTTTTTTGTGTGCATGATGAAGTATATATGGCAAAACATTTGCCATTTCAACCATTTTTAATGTACAATTCAGTGACATTAATTACGTTCACCGTGTTGTACAACCATTTCCATCATCTGTTTCCAGATTTTTTCATCACCCTTAACAGAAACTCAGTGCCCCTAAAGCAAGAACTCCCTCTTTCTCCCTTCCACTAGTAAACTTTGGTCTATTCTGGATATCCCATTTAAGTGAGATCATACCATGTCTGTCCCTCTGAGTCTGACTTATTTCGTTTAGCATGTTTTCAAGGTTCATCCACGTTGTAGCATGCGTCAGAACTTCACTTCTCTTTATGGCTGAGTAATATTCCATGTATGGAGACACGGCATTTTGTTTATCCAACCATCTGTTGACGGGCCCCCTGCACTATGACAAACCTCTGGAGCACCATTCCCACATTGTTCTCTGATTGCCTGCTGATACCTCTCTTTTGCCTGCTCACTAGACTGTAGGTTCCTTGAAGGCTGGCATCACATCTTATCTCTGGTGCTTAGCAAAGAGCCTGCATAACTGGCACTCAGTAGTGGATATTTGGATAGATACCCAGACTAAACCAAACCAGCTGGCGTTGGCTGGAGTCTGCTTCATGGGGAAACCATGTGTGTCAAAGTAGAACTGTGCTCCATAGGGTTTTCAATGGCTGATTTTTTGGAAGTAGATTGCCCGGCCTCTCTTCCAAGGTGCTTCTGGGTAGACTCCAACCTCCAACCTTTTGGTTAGTAGCCAAGCACTTAACCACTGCTCCACCATAGACAGGTATTAATTTTCTATGAGAAGTCTCAGTGACTCACTGAGAGGCAAGATTGAATTAATCTCCCGAAGAGAAGAACACAACCTTTCTGTCCCTCTTCCATAGGCTCTCTGTCCTCACGGAGTCCACCCAACGCCCCTTCCCTCACACACACACAGAGGGAGGGAACATGGCAACGATAGCCAGAGAGGGAGAGCATGCACACAGAAGGCAGGAGAGGGGGTCCCATCACCCTCGAGGGAAACTGAGAGCTTTTAAAGGAGACTGCGCCCTCACCCAGGGGTAGCAAGGATCAAGGTGAAATCCCATTCTTGTCTCGGCCACTAACTATTGCTGTTGCTGTGTGTCATGGAGTCGATTCTGACTCACAGAGACCTCACACCCTGGTCTCTCGCGGGTGTGAGAGCTTTCCTGGTCACAAAGTGCTTTCACACACAAGCTTTCACCGCATCTCGGAAGCGCCACTGTGAGTTGCTTCGATTCTAAAAGGCAAACAGACGTTGGGGTGCACGTGTGTGCAAGATGAGGGGTGGCTTCCTGTGCCGCCAGGTATGCTCCCGGGGAGTCCAGAAGACCAAACCCATGTTTCTCGTTTTATAGCTAAGGTCACTGCAGGTTATTTTAGGAAAACTGACTCTGCATGCAGCATTTCTAAGAAAATTCAAGAGAAAGAGTCAGGAGCCACAAGTCAGAATGCAAAAAAGAGGACATCTCTACTGAGGCCTGTTTTTAAATCTGCATATCCCGCCACCCTCAACCTCAAATACCAAGTTTCAGAGATGAGATCTATTTGGTTATCACCATCAAGTATTTCAGGAAACTCACTGTTATGGATTGAATTGTGTCCCGCCAAAATGTGTATCGACTTGGCTAACCATGATTCCGAGTAGTGTGTGGTTGTCCACCACTTTGTGATCTGATATGATTATCCTATGTGTTGTAAATACTAACCTCTATGATATTAATGAGGCAGGATTAGAGGCAGTTATGTTAATGAGGCAGGACTCAATCTACAGGATTAGGTTGTATTTTGAGTTAATCTCTTTTGAGATTCAGAGGAGCGGGACCTCATGCCACCAAGAAAGAAGACCAGGAGTGGAGTGTGTCCTTTGGGACCCGGAGTCCCTGTGCTGAGAAGTTCCTAGACCAAGGGAAGATTGATGACAAGGACCTTCCCCGAGAACTGACACAGAGAGAAAGCATTCTCCGAGAGCTGGCACCCTGAATTCAGACTTCTAGCTTCCCAGACTGAGAGAATAAACTTCTGTTCGTTAAAGCCATCCACTTGTGGTATTTCTGTTATAGCAGCACTAGATAACTAAGACACTCACCTACCCTAGGGCCTCCTTTACCTTTCATGCTAGGGCCAGACAGGCCAGACAGTCGGGAGGGGGGTGGTCATTGCTACCCTAATAATGAGCCTCAGGGACACTGGGGGATTCCTGGGGGTGAAGGAGAGCCAGGGATGGGGCTGGTTGCTCAGGCTTTAAAGAAGGCCCTCAAGAATAAAACACCTAATATTTGCTGAATGTTTTCTTGGGGCCAAGTACTGTTCTAAGTACTTTCCGTACACAGTTTCTTTGAACCTCTCCAATAACTTTATGAAGTAGGTCTTATTGTTATCCCCATACAACAGATGAGGAAATGGAGGCACGGAAAAGTGAGCACAGAGAGGTTAAGTAACTGCCTTGAAAGCCGCGGAGCCAGGATGCCACACCCAGAGAGCTTAGCACTACCTCTAAACCACCGCTGGTAGGCACTGACCTTCAGCCTCCAGGGGCAGCTCTGTGGCTCAAAAACAAAATTCAAGGACCAAAGAGGTGAGTGTCAACCTGGGACAGGCAGGAGCCCCAGGGGTTCCCAAATTCCACCCTAAACAGAGAAAAGCCCCCAAACAGCGACCATTCTGACATCCCTACTGCTCAGCTGAGGCAAGCTGAAAAGGGAGGGAACATGGCAACGATAGCCAGAGAGGGAGAGCATGCACACAGAAGGCAGGAGAGGGGGTCCCATCACCCTCGAGGGAAACTGAGAGCTTTTAAAGGAGACTGCGCCCTCACCCAGGGGTAGCAAGGATCAAGGTGAAATCCCATTCTTGTCTCGGCCACTAACTATTGCTGTTGCTGTGTGTCATGGAGTCGATTCTGACTCACAGAGACCTATATGACGGAGTAGAACAGCCCCATAGGGTTTCCTAGGCTGTAATCTTCATGGGAGGAGATCGTCAGATCTTTTCTCCCTCAGAGAGGCTGGTGGGTTTGAACCACCGACCTTTCAGTTGGCAGTGGAGTGCTTAACTGTTGCGCCACCAGTGCTCCTTCGGCCACTAACTAGGGTTTGTGTATTTAGAGTAAATGGCTCCTCTCTGAGCTGTGTTGCCTCATCTTAAACGGGGCTAGCGTCCCCTCAGGCTGTGGTGGGTTGAACCTAACAAATGTGAACAGCAGCTCCTTCCTCAGTGCGCGGGACCCTTCTCATCCCCGAGTCTCCCCAGCTGCCCCCTCACCTCAGGCTGGCACAGGCCACTTGTACTACCCCAACTCCATCACAGGGACTCACTCTCCTGGCTCCGCCTGGTCCCAAGTGGCCCTCAGGTGCTGGGTGGGCACAGGGGGCAGGGGGGTAGGGGTGCAGGTTGAGAAGCAACCATGCATCCTGGGAAAATTCACAGTGAGCACTGCAGGGGGAGCCAGGAAGGGCAGGGCAGTGATCTGCCACACAGCATGGCGTCCCTCCTGCCTCATCTGGGGGGAGGAGGTCTCCTGGCCTTGTGTACACTGGGAACAGGGACGCCAATCCTCTCCCAGGGGCTGCCTCAGACGCTTCAGAGGACAGGGGGCAAGGGAGGTAGGCTGAGATCAGGCAAGGGCCCCTCTCCCTCATTCCTGCTCCAGACAAAGAACCACCTGCTCCCCTCCTACCCCTCCCCCTTCAGGGCTCCCTGCTGTTGGTCTAGTGACAGGGGCTGTCCTGTGGCTCCTCCAACCCCCACCCCCACCACCGCCTCCCTGCCCTGCCCAGGCACACCACAGGCTCTAGACTGCAGAAACAAGCTGGAATCAGGCCGAGCCTCCCTTCTCTGCCAAAACTCTACCTTTCATGCCAGGGCCAGACAGGCCAGACGGTGGGGGGGTCACCACTACCCTGATAATGAGGCCTCAGGGACACTGGGGGAGATGAGGGAGAGCCAGGGATGGGGCTGGCTGCCTGGGCCCCACGGATGTACACAGGACACCCCCCAACCACCCCCCAATACCTGAGAAGATGAGGGCCAGAGCAGAGGCTGATGGTGGGCATGGGGAGGGGAGGTGGGAGGGCAGAGAGCCGCGGGAGAGACAAAGGGAGCAAGAGACAAAGATAGGACGCACACAGAAAGCAGGAGAGAGGGGGTCCCACCACCCTTGAGGGAAACAGAGAGCTTTTAAAGGAGG